ATCCGCGATTACTTTTACAGCAAATATGGTGGGAAATCTTTCGTTCATATGACTTTCGAGCAATATCAGCTTGGCTCTGAACGCTTGGATTTGATTGAATAAATCACAAATTAAGTTGTTTTTACCTTGGAGCTTTAAATTCAAGTTATTTACGCGTGTCACGACATCTGCAAAAATTGCCAACTTCCAGAGCCACTCTGCATCCAATAAAAGCGGTTCAGGGTGATTCTTCACCCCAATATTTGCACAAGGCATGTTTCTTCCTCCGTCAATTGTCACACCTTGTAGTCGATTCCAGTCCAACTTATATTTGGTCAACATATTTTATATATTTTACGAAATTTTTCAAAATACTTGGCGGGCCGGATAAAATCGCCTGCTGGGCCGGGTTTGGCCCGCGGGCCGTAGTTTGGACACCTCTGTCTTACATAATTAACGCTACAATTTTATTTTATTTTTTACAACTGTCGTATTCTATATATATATATTTTTTTTATATAATAGACTAGTGAAATTATCATAATTTATAATAATTGTTTAGGCAATTTCATGTTTGTGTTACATTAAGTTGCCTAACGATATGTATGTTTTGTTGCATACGTTCGATGATTGGTGGATGCGCCTGGTTCACTTTATTTTATTTTATTACCGACATTATTACGTCTTTTGTTTCCGTGATCATCCGTGAAAAGGGGAAATAACGGTAACCTTAGTAACTTGGTGGGCCTGGGCCCGAGTTATTTGTAATTATCAAATTTGACTTTTTTTTTGAAGCCCATCCATCCAAAGTTATCCCAAAATTACCAGTGTACATTTTATTATCTTATACACCAAGCGTATGTAAAGACTGTATATATACACCATACACACGAAGAGGAATATCGAATGGTAAAGGTGGTGGAGCAGCAGCAGCAACAACATAGATGTATCAGTGACGTGAAGGGAAGGGAAGAAGGTACGTTTCTCACGTTTCTTCCTTCGTCGCTGCTGCTGCCGTCTTCTGTTAACATCTAGAGTTGGGGGAGGGAATGGTGACGATGCTGGCGACGCCGGAAGCGGAAACGGATGCGGCGAAGAAGCTGGGAGCGGCGGACGGCCGTAGGCTGAGCATCCCCGCGATGCAAGCTCTGTACGAGCTGCAGCAGTCCAATCAACTGTGCGATGCAACAATCCTGCTCGACGACGGTGAAGTCTTTCCCATACACAGGGCGATCCTGTGCTCGTGCAGCTCCTATTTCAAGTAACTATGCAACTCCATTAACTGTAGAAGACGTAGTCTGGTGAACTTGTGGTTGCTTATCCGGAAGAAGTATATGAATGTCTTTGTTTCTTTAGAGCTGTATTCACGACAACGTTGCATGGAAAGAATAAAACTAACATCCTGCTACCTGGCGTGAGTCCTGACATGATGAAGCTGCTCATCAATTACGCGTACTTGCGGAAGCTGGATATAACTCCGGAGAACGTTTACAAGATAATTGCGACTGCCGATTACCTAAGTATTCTCGGTATTCTTGATATGTGCTGCGAGTATTTGGAGCGCACCATCACGCCGACGAACTGCGTCGGGATCATGCAGTTCGCCAAAGCTCAGTTCCTGCAGAGGTTGCACGAGGCTTGCTGGAGGTACGTGATGCGTTACTTCCCGCAGATCGCTACGACGAGCGCCGAATTGACGAATCTCCCCGTGGACGATCTTCAAGCGATCATCAACGCGGACGAGTTGAACGTGAAGAGCGAGGAGATCGTGTGGGAGGCAATCTTGAGGTGGATCAATCATCGACCTGAGGAGAGGAAGAAGCATATAGTCACGTTGATGAAGTGCATACGTTTGGGTTTGCTGGATACGCAGTTCTTTTTGGAGCACGTGAAGGATCATCCGTACGTGACGGGTTGCGAGGACAGCAGACCGATGATCATCGAGACGTTAAAGTTTCTGTACGATTTGGAGACGATCTCGCATCGGGATGGGGAAGTGCCGACGCCGGAGATTGCGAGGCCGAGGGTGCCGCACGAAGTGCTCTTTGCTCTTGGCGGTTGGAGCGGTGGGTCGCCCACGAATTACATGGAGACGTACGATACCAGAGCTGATCGTTGGGTCAAAGTGGAGGAGATCGATGGGAGCGGACCTCGCGCTTACCATGGGACTGCTGTCGTGGGGTTCGAGATCTACGTGATCGGCGGCTTCGACGGTATGGATTACTTCAACTCCTGCAGGTGCTTCAACGCTGTGACGAAGGTGTGGCGCGAAGCGGCTCCGATGCACGCGAGGAGGTGTTACGTGAGTACGGCTGTTCTGCAGGAGGCGGTCTACGCTATGGGCGGTTACGACGGCCACCACAGGCAGAACACGGCGGAGCGTTTCGATCCTCGCTCCAATCAGTGGTCGTTGATCAGTCCGATGAACATGCAGAGATCCGATGCGAGCGCTTGCACCTTGAACGGAAAGATCTACATCACCGGAGGATTCAACGGGCAGGAATGCATGCATTCCGCGGAAGTCTACGACGCCGATGCTAACCAGTGGACTCTGATTAACCCGATGAGATCTCGACGGTCAGGGGTGTCGTGCATCGCGTATCACGGACACGTGTACGTGGTGGGCGGCTTCAACGGCATCTCCAGGATGTGCAGCGGCGAAAAGTACAGTCCGGCGACGAACGCATGGACGCAGATACCCGATATGTACAATCCGCGCAGCAATTTCGCGATCGAAGTCATCGACGACATGATCTTCGTCATAGGCGGCTTCAACGGGGTGACCACGATCTACCACGTAGAGTGCTACGATGAGAGAACCAACGAATGGTACGAAGCGACGGATATGAACATCTACAGGTCGGCGCTCTCCGCCTGCGTGATCCAAGGACTTCCAAACGTGCGCGATTACATCCACAAGCATCGGGAGAAGCTGATGGAGGAGAAGCGGCAGAAGATGATCGCGTTGGAAGCGCAACGCGAGGCAACAAACAACGCGAATACGAACGCGGTCGTCGCCAACGGCACCGACGTCCTCCAGGTGCAGCAGGCTCAAGCGCAGAACGCGCACAACCTGCAGCAGCTGAACGTCCTACAGCAGCTCGCCAACGTCAACATGAACGTCCTAGCAACGGCTAACAATGACAACAACAACAACAACAACAACGACCTCAACAACGATAATAACAACATGCCTTTAGCGATGGACGTCGAAGAAGGCGACGACGTCCAATGACTATAAATTTCTACACGTATATTATATATATTGTATGAATCTTTACACGCGCACCCACACACATATATATATATATTTATTAATTTAAATGTAATCTTTTACATAACCATTTCCTGTATATCTATTAATATTTTACAGCCGATCCGAAGCGTAGATGAAATGTATAATAATAAATGTTGCGTACTCTTGTTTTTCACCAATTTTAATTGCATTGGAGTAAGTTTTCAATTTACGACAATTCGTACTCACGACGATTATTAGTTTAAATTATGCAACTTTATATACACCAATTACATATATACTAAATACCCGACGCATCCACCAATATTAAAGCATGGAATTATGCAACTTTTATAACATTTATGACGTAACTTAAACATTGTAACCTGGCGCTTTCACCAATCAAATCAAATGATTCTCGTTTCATTTCAAATTCGTATTTAATTTAATTAAAATTCGCGTTAATTAAAAAACAAATTATTTCCAATTATGCAACTATCGATGATGTAATGTTTTATAATATTTAAGTTGGCACGACGCTTATAGAAACAATTGCATCAACAAAGAAACGCAATACATTTAAGTAAATCACGACGAATTAATTAATTAAGTCTTAGCCTAATTAGTACAATTAATTAATTGAATAATTATCACTCACCCGTGTATTTGTCTATGTTTTCGTTTTTATTTTCTTCCATTAATAATCACAAACAATCACAATAAATGCTTGCATTAATTTTTGTTTCACTGCAACTGCTGTCATCACTATTACCAACTAATCATTTTTGTTTCACTTTAATTATGATCAATTATGCAAGTTTATATACACCAATTACATATTTTTATTAAATACCCGACGCATCCACCAATATGAAAGCATGGAATTATGCAACTTTAAAAACATTTATGATATAACTTCAACATTGTAACCTGGCGCTTCCACCAATCAAATCAAATTCTCGTTTCATTTCAAGTTGGTGTTTAATTTAATTAAAATTAGCGTTAATTAAAAAACAAATTATTTCCAATTATGCAACTGTCAATGATGTAATGTTTTATAATATTTAAGTTTGCACGACGCTTATAGAAACAATTGCATCAACGCATCCACCAATATTAAAGCATGGAATTATGCAACTTTAAAAACATTTATGATATAACTTAAACATTGCAACCTGGCGCTTCCACCAATCAAATGAAATAATTCTCGTTTCTTTTCAAATTCGTATTTAATTTAATTAAAATTTACGTTAATTACAAAACAAATTATTTCCAATTATGCAACTTTCGATAATGATGTAATGTTTTATAATATTTAAGTTGGCACCACGCTTACAGAAACAATAGCATCAACAAAGAAACGCAATATATTTAAGTAAATCACGACAAATTAATTAATTAAAGTCTTATCCTAATTAGTACAATTAATTAATTGAATAATTATCATTCGCCCGTTTATTTGTCTATGTTTTCCTTTTTATTTTCTTCCATTAAACACAATAAATACTAGCGTTAATTTTTGTTTCACTGCAACTGCTGTCATCACGCGTCATCACTATTACCAACCAATAATTTTTGTTTCACTTTAATTATTATCAATTATGCAACTTATAGAACTTTTATTTAATTTACATATTTTCTTTTGTTCCTGTTCTAGTTTGTTTTTTTGTTTTGTTTTGTTTTGTTCTCGCGGTGTTCGCGATTTACCGGACGCCGGCGCCGGATGCGCCCTCAAGATCCGTCCGTCCGTCCGGACCAACCAACCACCGTCGACGCCAACTGCGTGTGCTTGATTAGGTGAGCACCGCATTATATAAGTTTGCCAGTTGTTTCCTGCTCTTCAGGTTGTCAACAACAACTGCAATACCATAACAACCGTCAGGTGAGTCCAGTCCAGTCAGCATTCTTATTCTCCTCCGCAAAACTTCTAATGGTCTCACATCACATCTCACTCTTCGTCGTCGCATGCAAAACTACAGGTGGTTTATCTTCACGAACTCACTTTTAAACGACTTCCACTTACAAAATTTTCACTTTGTTAATTTTTTTTTTTACTAAATTATTAATTATTAAATAATTGCCTTGATAATGTAATGAAAAAAAAAATAAATGAACGTCTGAATCTAATGAATTTGTCCGTTTCCATAGTTACTAGGGTAGAGTGGATCCGGTGTTTAAAATAATTAATTTATAGGGAATTGAAGGAGGCGAAATGTGTTCAGGATTAGCATTAGCAAAGACCTCACGCATCCACATCAAAACTTAACCTCTATTAAATAATTACACCGATGAAACGTTACAAAGTTCACTCAAAAAACAACGCTTAACTTATTTAATTAATGTTCTTTATCTTTTGAAAAAAAACAAAATTATCCATTTGATAGAATTGACATTGTTTTTACCTTCAATTTGACAGATAGTCATAATTTGACATTTGGATTTGATTTGACACTTGACAAAATGATGATGTCAAAAGAATCGCAGAAACTAAAACGCTCACCATTAAAACTTAACCTCTCTTAAATAATTAAACGTTAGAAAGTTCATTCAAAAAACAACGCTTAACTTATTTAATTAATGTTCTTTATCTTTTGAAATAAAACAAAATTATCCATTTGATAGAATTGACATTGTTGTTTTTACCTAGATAGTCATAATTTGACTTAACCTCTCTTAAATAATTAAACGTTAGAAAGTTCACTCAAAAAACAACGCTTAACTTATTTAATTAATGTTCTTTAACTTTTGAAATAAAACAAAATTATTCATTTGATAGAATTGACATTGTTTTTACCTTCAATTTGACAGATAGTCATAATTTGACATTTGGATTCGATTTGACACTTGACAAAATGATTGGTTTTTCCCCCACGTCAAAAGAATCGCAGAAACTAAAACATTCACCAACAAAACAGGATACATTTTGATTTAACTACTTATACATTTCTCTCCGGGAATGTCCAATTAGAGCGGCAGTAAAGGTTGCGCAACGTGCGTTTTCCATTCCGATGGAATTAGTCAACAGATTTCCAAATACACTTGTTATGAGCTACGATATATATTTTATGTGTGTTTCTTTTGTGTTATCGAGCTGTTAACTGCTTATGCACACACACAAGAGAGATGCGACAGACATTGAGAGATTGGCATTTAGAAGTGAATAGAAAAGAGATAGAGAGAGAAAAAACGTAAAACGTGGTCACGGCAAATTTACTACGAAACCACTGCTCATCATCGAAAAAAAAAATGTAAATAATGTAGATGAAGGAATTCGCGTCAGTCGTGAAATAAATTCGTAGTTAAATCAAGCGCGCTGTGATTAAAATAAGTTATATCAGGTATTGTAACCATAACAACTTTCAATTTTATTCTTCTGAATTTGTAAATATTAGATGGCGCCATCAGCGAAGTGAAGATTCACGTAGATGTACCTCTTTACATCACAAGATTTCTCAAAGATTGATTTCATTAATTTATCGACAATATCAATATTTTCAATTTAGAAATACTAATTGAATTGAACTAATTGTTAAATTAGCACAAATTAATAATGACACAAATTAACTATCAATAAAAACAACGTTTCTATTGATTAATTGACACTTAGTTACTATGGTTACATTTTCGTTTATTTCACAGGATGACTTGGATGTCGGCCGCTATTCTTGCGCTGCTTTTGATGAGCATCGTCGATTGCCAGAAGAGTTTGGTCGAGGCGGATGCTTCTGCTGGTGGAACGTCGATGGAGTCTTCGAGGACGTTGGAGTGTCACCGGCGATTGTACAGCTACAAGGTGACGCAGACCGATGAAAACGGTAAAATGTGTTGGGACATCATCCAGGTGTGGGCATGCTGGGGACGATGCGACTCCAACGAGGTAACATAACAAAAACTCTTTCACATTCACATTTAACTTCATGCTTGCAAGAGGATATTTGTACAATTATATTTCGCAGTTTCAAGAAGTTGCGAACGCAGCGAAGCGAATATTCCATTGTTCAGTATCTCTTACAACCGCATCATCAAAAGAAATTTTTACAATTTTACGAAACCTTTAACCCATTTTTTATACTAGAAACTCTAAGAAAATCGTGGCTTCTTTTCCAATTATCAAAAGAAACGATTCTGATTAAATATTTGAGATTTGCAATAAATTACTTAATTAATTTTAGAAATTAACAAAAAAAAAACAACTTTACTTTACTTTTAAATAGTTTTTTATTAATTAGATACATAATACATTATAAGTTATTGTTACAAGGGGGTGGCGTATATGTGAGCTTTTCTTAGCTCATCTAGGCCCAGAAAATTGTAAAAAAAACAAAGACGCCATCTCTATTTAACTTGGAAACTAATCTTGTTATATGCAACTCTAATTACTTTAAAGTATTGAATTTGTCTTTTTTCTATACGATTTATATAAGACGGGATGGGGAAATTGTATGTGAATTTTTCCGCTTCAGTACAAAATTCAGGAAAATTCGGCGTGCCGGGGAAACGATTTCGTCGAAATATGTCGATGCAACAGGGACGTTGGGTAATTTAATTAAGTCGGCGGTGGTGGCGGTGGGACACGCGACGCGACGCGCCAATTACAATTACGCAATTAAAATTGACGGACACCTCGGACGCGCATATAAAGGATCCCACACACCACATCCCATTAGAAAATAAAAATCTATACTCGTAAATTGAAATTAATCAGTTCCCATATTAATTTTCTCATAATTGAATCGAAAATATTCCACATTTCTTAATGACGTTCAAATTGTGATTAGTTTCGTATTGAATTGTAGAGGTCGTTGCTTAACACATTGACGACGGCATGACCCAATTATAAATAATAGTTTTGTTTCACAATATCACGTATTGTTCTAAATTGCTTACAAAATTATTAAAATATGTATAAGAAATGTATTGCGTTTGAAGTTTGTAATTGACTTAAGATATTTGAGGTTATTCTCAGTCAAAATCAGTGGCGTACATAGC